TGAAGAGTGGCTCGAGGCCAGTTGAACTGATCCCTAAAGTGTTCTGCCCATCGATCCAGTCTCCTGGATTGAGAATGGATAATAAGACCATCCTTTTCCTAGATAGTCTCACTCACATTCGGGTTCTTAATACCAGTTTCTTTAATAAGGCGGAAAAGTTGTCTACTGTTGCCTATCGCTGCTGCCTTTTCCATCGCTTTTGCTTTCGCCACCCACCACTGTTTCGCGGTCGTTACGCAGACTTTTTATAAGTCTGTGCCTAAGCTGACTACGCTCTTCATCATGTTCAGAGTCAGGTGGGATGCTTTTTCGAGTATCTATCAGTTCGGTGGATGCGACTGATATCCACGGCTTCATCTTAGCCTTATGGTTTACCTTGCTAGCAGATATCACTGCTTTTTCCACAACCTTTTTGATATCATACCAACCTGCTTCTGGATTGGAATCACTTACATCGTTGCTTAACTCTCTTTCTAGTTGCTCCTGAAATATTTTCTTAGTTTGATTATCATTAAGTAAAATCCTAAGAGGCTTTCTTACGGTGTCTTTCCTACGTCCAGTAAGCCTTAAACAGATACGAGCTGGCACAAGAGCATGATCTGAATCCAAACATGTGCCCCAGAACGAGCGACAGTCTTCTATCGAACCCCTCCATCCGTGGCTGATGGCGATGTGATCTAGTTGCGTCGAACGTTGAGACGACTTTGGAGGTCGCCAGGTCAACAGATGCTTTTCCTTATGCCTAAAGTTAGTGTTCGCTAAGAATAGGCGGTTATCTGAGCATAGTTGCAACAGACGGTCGCCATTGTCTGTTCTCTTAGTCGCTACACCATAACATCCACCAAGATGTCTTTCCTTTTCACCTAGTCTACCTACTTGAGCATTAAAGTCACCAGCCATTAATACTATACCGGAGCGCCTAGCTTTTTGGAGGAGATCCGAAAGCTTTCTGTAGAACTCATCTTTAACCTCGTCTGCACTGCAGTCAGTGGGGGCATAGGCAGATATGACGAAGAGGCAACGGCGAGTGTCCCTAAGTTTCCGAGTCCTTACTGTCCCGTTTAGTCGGACAGCGCACAAGCGACCATCTACTGGGATCCAGTCTAGGAGAGATAATTCTGCCCTAGGACTCAACGCTATGCCTACGCCAGCAAGACCTCTGGAAGCAGCATCAGGGCAACCGGATACACGAAGAGTAAATCGAGCTGCTTCTTCGTTTTGACAAGGTGGAATCAGGTTAATGACTTTACTAGGATCCTGTATTCGCGTTTCCGAGACACAGCATACATCGATGGCACGAGATTATAAAGTCCTAGCTAATGATGCCTGTTGCCCTATTTGACACAATGTCCGTACATTAAATGCTCCAATATGTAGTCTAGAGCGGGGTTTAGGGAAACCAGGAACGACGTTTCGCGAACTCGTGTCGCCTGCATTAGCTGTGCACTGTGATAAATGAATGTGAGAAGAGTTAGTCGTGGAGATAAGAGAGGTACTAGGGGGTGTAGGAAGGATTTGATTTTGACCAATTTGGTCTCGCGTGCTGGTACGGGTATGAGGGCGGTTGTCACTTCCCGGCTGCCCACACCGTGGAAGGTTGTTTCTTGAGGAACCTGAAAAGGAAAATAGATTAGTGTTGGTCTTAGAGACCTGGGAGCGTGACCGCAGAGTCCAAGGGACAACTGCTTGGGGCCGGTCATGCACGGCCTTTTTATGAAACTTTTTTGAGGATTAGCTCCGTTCTTAAAGGCCCTTAGTGGGCACCCTTACCCAAGGAGACGGAAATCCGTGAGGTAGGGTGAGGTGTGACATTTTTAGGGCCGAACTTTTCTAACCCTTCCTTCTTTGTGAGAAGGCAGCATCGCTGCAGATGCTGGTTGTCTGAGGGAAACACCTTACTGCTGTCACACCTCTCTGCAGTCAGCAGTACGACTTCGCCCTCAGACCTTGGATAGCTGCTTTTAGTCTCATCGTTCTCCAATCGACCTGCCTGGCATGGTAGGACCTGCAGGAACATATGTTCCAGCCAGTATAGCTCGGTTGGGTCATCACGATAGGCAAGCCCGACTACTACGTCAAGGTAGCAGCTTCGGTCGGGTAATGTAATGAGTTATGACTAGCTACTTATAGTCTAACAAAAATAAGCTAGACATTTGATCAGCAAAGTAACCAATGTACATACGCACCTAAATAAAAACAATCAAGTAACAAGCATATAAATGACAAGTTTGAAATACATGTGAGTAGTAACTCAGGTAGGAAAGTTTAATTAGTTCATCTAAAAGCTAGGACAAGTTGAGTGGGTTTCACATATTGATACATACACTACACATTTCTACACCAACGGTACGTATTCGTCCTTTAGGACGTTTTCTGATAGTCATCAAGTGACCTTTCCATTAGGCCACTTCGGATTGTCTCATTATATTAAATATCTTCCCGAAAGTCAATGTTGTTGTGTCTTGTTTTCTGATCTATTCAAAGTATTGACTTTACTTATCTATTAAGATAATAAACAAAGTCAGGTTTATATATCGTACAAGAATAGCGACTGAAATCAGCATGTATGACTTACAGAACTTATAATCACTTTTCCTTACCTTCGCGATGTTGATCCCATTGTGATAGAGCTAAGTTATTTGTATATGTAGAATCCAACGGTTTAATAGGAATTTGACTTATAGTTGACTTTAGAGGATTTATAAAAGGATATAATGTATTATTATAGCTGTTATTAAATGAGGTTGTTATATTGGGCTGAACTGTTGTTAAACGGCTAGAAACTGCGAAGTCTATCAGTTGTTGAAGACGTTGAAATATAATCATATCAGGATTTGGAGAAAATCGTGTATCCACATCCAGCATTCTTCCGATAAGATCCCGAAATGTCCCAAGCTTTTGAATATAAAACAACAGCTTATACTTAGCAATGTTTATGGAAATATTAAAACTTAATAATGTTTAAACCGAATCGCTCCAACTCCTCCTAACTGGTCAAGAGTCGTCCAACTTTTAATCAGCATGATGGGACATGGCAAAGTCCTTCGTTTAGCGTATAGTAATCAAGAGTTACATAGCTATATTGAACTGTAAGATTATACTACATCAATAATATTGTTGTTGCCTTTGTTGAAACCTATTACCAAAAAATATATCTGACTTCAAAAAGGGACTGACATCTCTTTTGGATTCAAACCTGCTCTACCTAATTTTGGAAATAATATCCGGTATGATTGGAACGTTGTGTATTTGAATTGGTGATACTAACTAATATAAGGTTAACAATATTCTTTTTAACAGATCCATACACCTAGTTTTAACACCGACTGGGGTGTATTACTGTATCAAACCACTTAACTCTTATTGGGAAATAAGGTCTGAGGATAAATAATGCTTTATGTTTTATCTAAAATGATATCACTAGTATATTGTACCGATACACAAAAGCAAGATGCTACTACGAGTGAGTAAGCTATCCTAGTAATTAAAAAGTCTATGATGGAGTTTCGTTCTTCTCGGAAGAACAATCAAAGCTACACAGAGAACGAAAATCCATCATAATCAACCATCTGAGCTACACATTTTCCCCACTATCTCATCAGAAAGTTATGTCAGCGTATGTTTTTGGGTATAACGGAAGCTTGGTTACTCTTAGAACCGCTGTGCTTACTTCTTTTTCCTATAGAAAACAAGAGGTGAAGTCATTCAGATGAAAACTGAATTTTACAAGTCCATCTGAACAAGTAACTATCTTCGTCAATGAGCACTTTATTTGCATAATGAATGGAAATTAAAAAATTAGTATTCAGCGATTTTACTATTCATTCTGATCATATTCGTAGAGAACTATTGAGATAGAAAACTATATTATTTTGAATACAAAATATGAACTATCATGTTCACAGAAACGGATAAAGGGAAAAGTACTCTGTAAGTAGTACTAATATTACATACTAGACTGATCAAGTGACTAGAACCATTTTGAATGGTATTTTCATCAAAATAACTGTAAAATCTATGAATACTAATTTTTTAATTTCCATTCATTATGCAAATAAAGTGCTCATTGACGAAGATAGTTACTTGTTCAGATGGACTTGTAAAATTCAGTTTTCATCTGAATGACTTCACCTCTTGTTTTCTATAGGAAAAAGAAGTAAGCACAGCGGTTCTAAGAGTAACCAAGCTTCCGTTATACCCAAAAACATACGCTGACATAACTTTCTGATGAGATAGTGGGGAAAATGTGTAGCTCAGATGGGGATGATTATAATGGATTTTCGTTCTCTGAGCCGGATGTTTCGGTTGTGTAGCTTTGATTGTTCTTCCGAGAAGAACGAAACTCCATCATAGACTTTCTAATTACTAGGATAGCTTACTCACTCGTAGTAGCATCTTGCTTTTGTTTCTCGGTACAATATACTATTGATATCATTTCAGATAAAACATAAAGCATTATTTATCCTCAGACCTTATTTCCCAATAAGAGTTAAGTGGTTTGATACAGTAATACACCCCAGTCAGTGTTAAAACTAGGTGTATGGATCTGTTGAAAAGAATATTGTTAACCTTGTATTAGTTAATATTCAGAAGTTGGTTAGTATCAACAATTCAAATACACAACGTTTCAATCATACCTGGATATTATTTCCAAGATTAGGTAGAGCAGGTTTGACTCCAAAAGAGATGTCAGTCCCTTTTTGAAGTCAGATATATTTTTTGGTAATAGGTTTCAACAAAGGCAACAACAATATTATTAATTTAGTATCATCTTACAGTTCAATATAGCTATGTAACTCTTGATTACTATACGCTAAACGAAGGACTTTGCCATGTCCCATCATGCTGATTAAAAGTTGGACGACTCTTGACCAGTTAGGACGAGTTGGAGCAATTCAGTTTGAACAATATTAAATCTGAATATTTCCATAAACATTGCTAAGTATAAGCTGTTGTTTTATATTCAAAAGCTTGGGACATTTCGGGATCTTATCGGAAGAATGCTGGATGTGGATACACGATTTTCTCCAAATCCTGATATGATTATATTTCAACGTCTTCAACAACTGATAGACTTCGCAGTTTCTAGCCGTTTAACAACAGTTCAGCCCAATATAACAACCTCATTTAATAACAGCTATAATAATACATTATATCCTTTTATAAATCCTCTAAAGTCAACTATAAGTCAAATTCCTATTAAACCGTTGGATTCTATATATACAAATAACTTAGCTCTATCACAATGGGATCAACATCGCGAAGGTAAGGAAAGGTGATTATAAGTTCTGTAAGTCATACATGCTGATTTCAGTCGCTATTCTTGTACGATATATAAACCTGACTTTGTTTATTATCTTAATAGATAAGTAAAGTCAATACTTTGAATAGCTCAGAAAACAAGACACAACAACCTTGACTTTCGGGAAGATATTTAATATAATGAGACAATCCGAAGTGGCCTAATGGAAAGGTCACTTGATGACTATCAGAAAACGTCCTAAAGGACGAATACGTACCGTTGGTGTAGAAATGTGTAGTGTATGTATCAATATGTGAAACCCACTCAACTTGTCCTAGCTTTTAGATGAACTAATTAAACTTTCCTACCTGAGTTACTACTCACATGTATTTCAAACTTGTCATTTATATGCTTGTTACTTGATTGTTTTTATTTAGGTGCGTATGTACACAGGTTACTTTGCTGATCAAATATCTAGCTTATTTTTGTTAGACTATAAGTAGCTAGTCATAACTCATTACATTACCCGACCGTAGCTGCTACCTTGACGTGGTAGTCGGGCTTGCCTATCGTGATGACCCAACCGAGCTATACTGGCTGGAACATATGTTCCTGCAGGTCCTACCAGGCCAGGCAGGTCGATTGGAGAACGATGAGACTAAAAGCAGCTACCCAAGGTCTGAGGGCGAAGTCGTACTGCTGACTGCAGAGGAGTGTGACAGCAGTAAGGTGTTTCCCTCGGACAACCAGCATCTGCAGCGATGCTGCCTTCTCACAAGGAAGGAAGGGATAGAAAAGGTCGGCCCTAAAAATGTCAAGCCTCACCCTACCTCACGGATTTCCGTCTCCGGTGATAAGGATGCCCAATAAGGGCTTTTAAGAGCGGAGCTAACACTCAAAAAACCTTTAATAAAAAGGCCGTACGAGATCGGCCTCAAGCAGTTGTTCCTTGAAATCTGCGGTCACGCTATCAGGTCTCTAAGACCAAAACTAATCTACTTATCTTTTCAGGTTCCTCAAGAAACAACCTTCCACGGTGTGGGCAGCCGGGAAGTGACAACCGCCCTCATACCCGTAACAGCACGCGAGACCGAATTGGTCAAAATCAAATCCTTCCTACACCCCCTAGTACCTCTCTTATCTCCACGACTAACTCTTCTCACACTCATTTATCACAGTGCACAGCTAATGCAGGCGACACGAGTTCGCGAAACGTCGTTCCTGGTTTCCCTAAACCCCGCTCTAGACTACATATTGGAGCATTTAATGTACGGACATTGTGTCAAATAGGGCAACAGGCATCATTAGCTAGGACTTTATAATCTCGTGCCATCGATGTATGCTGCGTCTCGGAAACGCGCATATAGGATCCTAGTAAAGTCATTAACCTGATTCCACCTTGTCAAAACGAAGAAGCAGCTCGATTTCCTCTTCGTGTATCCGGTAGCCCTGATGCTGCTTCCAGGGGTCTTGCTGGCGTAGGCATAGCGTTGAGTCCTAGGGCAGGATTATCTCTCCTTGACTGGATCCCTGTAGATAGTCGCTTGTGCGCTGTTCGACTAAATGGGACAGTATAGACTCGGAAACATAGGGACACTCGCCGTTACCTCTTCATCGTATCTGCCTATGCCCCCACTGAATGCAGTTCAGACGAGGTGAAACATGAGTTCTACAGAAAGCTTTCGGACCTCCTCCAAAAAGCTAGGCGCTCCGATATAGCAATAATGGCTGGTGACTTTAATGCTCAAGTAGGTAGACTAGGTGAAAAGGAAAGACATCTTGGTGGATGTTATGGTGTAGCGACTGAGAGAACAGGCAATGGTGACCGTCTGTTGCAACTATGCTCAGACAACCGCCTATTCTTAGCGAACACTAACTTTAGGCATAAGGAAAAGCATCTGTTGACCTGGCGACCCCCGAAGTCGTCTCAACGTTGGACGCAACTAGATCACATCTCCATCAGCCACCGATGGGGAGGTTCGATAGAAGACTGTCGCTCGTTGTGGGGCACATGTTTAGATTCAGATCATGCCCTAGTGCGAGCGCGTATCTGTTTGAGGCTTACTGGACGTAGGAAAGACACCGTAAGGAAGCCTCTTAGGGTTTTACTTAATGATAATCAAACTAAGAAAATATTTCAGGAGCAACTAGAAACAGAGTTAAGCAACCATGTAAGCGATTCCCATCCAGAAGCAGGTTGGTATGATATCAAAAAGGCTGTGGAAACAGCAGTGATATCTGCTAGTAAGGTAAACCATAAGGCTAGAATGAAGCCGTGGATCTCAGTCGCATCCACCGAACTGATGGATGCTCGAAAACGCATCCCACCTGACTCTGAACATGATGAAGAGCGTAGTCAGCTTAGGCGCAGACTTATAAAACGTCTGCGTAACGACCGCGAACAGTGGTGGGTGGCGAAAGCAAAAGCGATGGAAAAGGCAGCAGCGATAGGCAACACTAGACAACTTTTCCGCCTAATTAAAGAAACTCGTGTTAGGAATCCGAATGTGAGTGAGACTATCTCGGAAAAGGATGGGATTATTATCCATTCTCAATCCAGGATACTGGATCGATGTGCAGAACACTTTAGGGATCAGTTCAACTGGCCTCGAGCCACTCTTCAGTTACCCACGATCTCCAGTCATCCTGAATGGCAAATCGACGTAAGCCCCCCTAGTCTTAATGACGTTGAGAAAGCGTTAGGAAATCTGAAACGAGGACGAGCTGCAGGTCCTGATAGACTGACCCCTGAGATATTTAAGGATGGTGGTCCAGTTTTAACAGTTAGACTGACCGAGATCTTAGGTAGAATCTGGGAACTGGACGTAATCCCATCCGACTGGTCTCAATCCTTGATTGTCCCAATCTATAAGAAAGGACAGAAGTCTTCTTGTGACAATCACAGGGGAATAAGTCTAACTAATATAGTTTCTAAATTGTTAGCCTCGATTATACTTAGACGTCTAACTAGAGCTCGTGAAGAGAAGATTACAGGAAATGAGGATGGTTTTCGACCTGGACGTGGTTGTATAGACTACATCTTTACACTACGACAGGTCTTGGAACACAGGCACACATTTAGGCGTCCGACAATAGTTGTTTTCCTAGACCTTAAGGCGGCATTTGACTCAGTGGATCGTGAGGTTCTGTGGCAGTGTCTGTCATTGAAAGGTGTACCAAAGAAGTATAAAAAAAATATATACAATACAAAATCGGACACCACTGGTCGAGTGGGAGCTTATGGCGAACTGTCACCGGAATTCTCTACTTCAAGTGGTGTCCGTCAGGGATGTCCACTCTCTCCATTCTTGTTTAATTTTATCATAGACATGCTCCTAGACATAACATTATCCTCGTCTGAATTTTCAGGAGTAGACCGTCTACCAGGTGGCTCGCTTATTGACTTAGAATATGCCGATGACAAAGTCCTACTTGGTGAAGACGCTGACAAAATGCAGAGTCTTCTGTCCACCATAAGCAACAATGCAAGCATGTTCGGGATGCGGTTCCCCCCCCCGAAATGCGAAATTTTGCTTCAAAATTGGGTTACATCAGCACCTGAACTAGTGATAGAAAGTGAAGTAGTCGAGCGTGTTGACGACTTCACTTATCTGGGGAGTCTCACCAGTGCCGATGACCTGATGTCTGACGAAATCTCAGCGTGGATACAGAAAGCTCGATTTGCTTTTGCCAATTTACGCCGTTTATGGCGTAGGCGAGATATCCATTCGCTGACTAAAGGACGAGTGTACTGCGCAGCAGTTCGCTTCGTTCTCCTATATGGATGCGAAACATGGCCGGTAAGAGTAGAAGATATTCGTAGGTTAATAGTATTCGATTATAGATGTCTTCGAAGCATTGCTCGTATATCCTGGGACACCCGAGTGAGCAACGCTGTTATTAGGAATCGGGTGCTATGTAAGAATGGCAGATCAATAGATGAAGTAGTGAAACTTCACAGTTGAGGTGGTTGGGACATGTGTTACGCATGCCCAACCACCGACTGCCTCGTCGAGCTTTGTTTTGTAGTGTAGGAATAGGTTGGAAGAAAGTTAGGAGCGGCCAAACAAAACATGGCAGAAATCAACGAAGTCATTGACAAGTAGACTTAGCCATGTCGGTAATTGTCGACTTCCTGGTTGGGGTCCGCGAGATGATAATAATCGATGGTTAGGTACCTTGAATGACATGGCTCAAAATCGTTCGCAATGGCACCGGTGCATTTATTCTTTGTGTTCTCTCAAATCCTAATCTTCTGGATTCTTCAACCCACCTAGTTTTGACTTTCTAAACTTTTCTCACTGAATCATACTTCTTGACTAGTATCTTCTAATCCTATCCTCTCCGATTACTTCTAATTCCTATACTACCTCTTCTACTATTGGATTTGAATTGACGATTACTCTCTGTGCTGATGTGGTATGGCAACATGAACTGATGTACTTACGTACGAAGTTCTACGTTGCATCTGACTGACTGACTGACTCATTACATTAAGTTGGCCCACTAGCCTTGTCCTCTTCGTATTCTATTGTCTGTCTGCTTATGCGAATGCGTGAAGCAAAGTCATCCGCATAAAACCGTAATGAACTTCTGATAACCAATGCTGCACGAACGGTGTTCATCTAAAAGTGACAAACGGAAATCGAAGAGATGATTTACTTTATAGTATATTCACTAGTTCATAAAAATTGGAGTCAGATCCCGGACCACAAAAGTGGCCTTATTTTCTAAGGAGATAGGATGCTTATATATACGAGTATTTGTAGATATTATTCGGCTGCCAAATAGACTTTCTCTTCTGCTTTTGTCTTCAAGTAGCCAGTTGAGGGTTAGCACATTCGGATTTTAACATTGTACATCAAAACGATATTTTTATATCAAACAGCAATACAGTTACAGTTATTCGTAAATTAAACAATCGAAAGCCAAGTTTCACTACTTCGGTAAATAAATAGAGATTTGTAGCTATACTCTGTACACTTTAAGTAGCTTTACATTCTAAATTCAACTAGTCTTAGTACATACGGGAACTTATCTGATGCAAACGGATAACACTTTGAACAACCAAAGTGATTATCTCCTAGAGTACCTTCAGTCGGTTACCGGCAAGATAGAAAATGGGACATATGAGCATAGGTACAAGCTGCCAAAGAACATTGTTTTACTAAATCGGGGATAAATCTGAAGACAACGCCTCACCTGCGATTATAAAGAATCACTATTAAACGAATATAATAAAGTTCACAAAAACTTCTAGCCAATATAAGATAATAACGGGAAACTGTTAGACTACTTACGCTAGTTGACAGAAAGAATGAGGCTACTGAAAATATCAGTTGCCTAACTAACGACCAGAAAAGTTTCTTCTCAAATTCGCTACTTCCAGAGATTTTCTGGAAATCATGTGCACTTCGATCCACGTTTATTGCCTCATCAAACAAACTTGACCTTTGAAACACTGCTAGTTATCACTAGATAAGTTATAACATTGAAATCTTAGTTAACTTTAATGAATACAAGAAACTTACTATTAGTTATGATTCCCGTCAAACAGATGCAGCTGAATTTCTTTTCAAAGGTAGTGATTTTTATCGTATGTACTCCAAATTTGAAGAACACTTGGCTGTTTCGAAATCTCTTCACCTAATAAGGTGTTTTTAATAAGAATAGTCTATATGTCCTTAACCTTATAAATTGCAGATCAAAGTTAGTACTTTCTAGTAAATTTAGTCAGTTAAATGAATTGTCACTTTATTTGATTCTTATATCTGTTCTAGGCCACTCAAACTTACAGCCAAAATACCAAGAGAAACTGAGACCGAAATCGGATGAAGCAACTCAACTTGAAAATGGGAAAAAACAAATAAATCGATCAGGTGTTCAGGAAAATAAACTAAAAACCTTAACAAAACCGACACCAAACGTACCGAAGAAATCAGTTGAATCTCGTGTGCAAAAGGATGACCGCCAATACTAGGAAAATTCTCACACCACAATACTATCTCAGGAAGTAGGTATTTCATTCGAAATACCTAGAAAAGATTTATGATACAAACAAGAGATTGTTGTTTAAATTCAAACCTTCTATCAAACTAAGAATAAGGGGTAGATCTAAGGTGCAACATTAACCAGTCCAAAAAGTTTGCAAAGAGAGGGTAAAATGAAGAATTTCACTTTTGTTACCTAGTGTGGTTAAAACATGAATATATTTGAAGGTGGAAGATAAACCCATTCTGCAACAAACATATTTAAATTTGTTTCTGATTGTTGCATTAGGTTCTACACGGTGAAAGTAAATCAGAAAAGAAGTTTTGATAATAACTTTTACCACAGTTACGATAAGCTAACTATGTTGCCTATCCAACATAATTACACTCCTATATAATTAAACAATGCAATAGCGAAACATCAGTTAATTTAAATTCATGTCATTCAAAGACTTACAACGTAGAACTCGGTATTTACACACAAGCTCAAGTTGCCATACCACATTCGTGCAGACAGATCGAATTGTTAATTCAAATCCAATGATAGTAGAAGTATTAGCAGTAATGGAGAAGTTTATGGTTCAAAGGTGTGATTCTAGAGGTATATCCCCAGTGAAGTAAACATAAAATGCGAAAAACCGGTCATGGAGAATTCAGATTAGAATTTGAGAGGTGACAAGTAACAGATGCATCTGCGCCACTGAGAGCGATTTAGAGCAATG